CTTTTCGCGGTACAGGCACTCTTTGTCCAGCTGGAACACCCACCAGGTACAAGTGCAAAAACTTGTTGTTCATGTACGATCTTGTCCCGTTTAACAGCCTTTTTTAATTTGCTGCGTGATGTAATCGAGATAGTAATCCGAAAATAAGTCTGCGTACCTAATTATCCCTCTTGAAATTTCCGTGCGACCAAAAGCTAAGTGTCTCGAGCTGTATGCATGCCATATTCACGAATTCTAATTTAACCTCCTGTAACTTCCGCCACGATGTTTTGTGAAACAGGACCGTAAACAGTCTGGGAACGAGATATTTCATGGATTTCGATTACTCGTTGTGTTTGAGTTCAACTATACTGTGAAGCTTTTACTTTAAGAACCATTTAGGTAGAATTTTATAGTAATGGGCAAATTCTACTAATCTTATCACTCATTTTGCGAACAAAATATCATAGAAAATGATAAAATCCCGAATTTAAGTTGTCGTCTCGACCCTGGTCGTCTTCTCTCTCGGGAAATAGGGACCTTACCCATATACGCGGCGACGGCAAGGACGACGTCGATTAAAAAGTGTGTTTATATTTTGTGTACCAAGAGTTGTAATGCACGTGCACAGCCATTGGTCTGCTCATTAAACCTTTTGTTTGGTGACGTTCTCGTTGCCGTAGCCGTCGTGTTTTGCGTAAGGTCCCTAAGAGACTGGAGGGGACGGCTGAAATACAGGCGATGGAAAAAAAAGTCTTACATGGTACTTTCTGTTTGCTGTTACAAGATCGATCTTGAAGTACAGGTAATTAAACTCTTGAAATCTTCTTGCAATAGCAAAGCATTATTAGATTATTTTTATTTGATGCACGTTAGTCAAAGGTCCGTTGGAAATGGCAAATTATACCCATGGCTCCCTCTCTCTATCATTGGTGCAGCGATATTTTATAAGCCGCTCTCTGGAAAGTAGATAGCCTCTTACGCAGACGCTCAATGGGCTCGTCAMGCAATCTTTGGGGGAAGATTGCGTGACGAGCCCAGAAAGTAGACGGCATTTTGAGGCCCTTCGGATGTACCATACCACGGCTCGGCGACCCACCCAGCCCCCCTTTAGCGATCTGTGTTTGGTGCACGAAACTTCTAACGAAACGTTGTATACGTATTCTGTTACTTGGGACGCTGCTATCTTTTTTTCGTTTAATCGACTTTTTTTTTTTAACTCATCCAGGTTTCATGAAGTCGTATTTTGACAGTTTGTATAATGAGGAGATCATCACAGAGGAATCATTCAACGCCTGGGAAAGCAGTGTTGAAGAGGAACGAGGCAAGCGCGCGGCCATAGCCGCCAGTTCTGTATTCTTCCGCTGTCTTAGAAGCAGCGCTGAAGGCGAGGACCTGGCGAGAAGAGTTTAACAATTCACCGCGAAGTTGAATAACTGGCTCTTAAAAATATGCAATCAGTGGAACTTCGGAAGCAGACGCCGTAAAATCCTGGTTTTTCTGCGTTTTTATGAGCTTTTTCAGTGGGTGGTGGCGAATGAAAGTAACCTTAGCTTACGTTTTATAATGAATACTTTACTCTTCTCGACCACCACACAAGTTCACGGTTGTTAAGTTTAAAAAATTAACGTTTGCCAAATTGGAACATTTCAAATTGTACGTAGAGTTTATATAAATATCAGGTTTTAATCTTATCTCAATCTGCGCTGCAGCTGCTGCTGTTGTTTTAACAGATTCATACCTAGCAGCTTTCACTTGAGTGTCGAAAATAATTGCATTTGCTTTGGTTTTGCATTTCAACGGTAGGAAATTGGCTTAAAAAACCTCGCGCCACATCGTCATCCAATCAGAAGTAAATACAACACGAATTGTTTCTCGCATGCCGGGGTGTATATATCGCGCTGGAATTTTAAAGCAATTTCAATTTAGTTCAGCAGTTCACCCGAGGCCTAAGGGATAGAGAAAGAGAGAAAAGAGAAACAAACATCGAACAGTGGAGTCTATATCATGCCGTGGGAAATACAGTTTCTCCACTTCCCCACCTCCGCTACCCACCCCGGAGATAAGAGCAAGTTAATCGAACTGATTTTAGTTTTGTCTGAATTTGTTATTCCCGTCGTATTTGACCTCCTACTGTGAATCGTCTGAATTAGTTGTTAGAAGTATATTCGAGGAGGAAATAATTACGTTTCACCGCAAAATAACTGACTAACCTTATGTCAGAACGTGTAGAACAACAGTGAATAGTTGTTGAATAAAAAGTTTTCGTGTGCGTCAACTCAGTTAAATATTACCATGGTAATCTGTATTCTCAATCTGCCCTCTGCACTTTCTGTCTTGGTAAAATTAATCTTCATCGATAAAATAAAATATATATATAT